AACAGTAAATCAGTGCTGGAGTCAGGGCTAGCCCTTAGAAATTCCTGGCTTTCAGTTATGTGCTCAGGCTATTAAGCAATGCATCATTTTATTGTTTGCAACCTCTAGATGTAATGGTCCAGGTCAGACCACTATCTTCTCTAAACAGGCCCTTAACTAATTTTAGATGTATTTGTCCCTCTCTGAGTCAGATGCTGAATTGGTAACACATTGTAACCTTTACAAGAGAAGACAGGTTGGAGCATTTCATATTGGATTGGTGTTTATGCAGACTGGGCTACAAGATGTGATGGCGGGTTTTGCCTGCAGCTTGTAGTCTCTTCCTTGAGGTTTGTCATTTGTACAGGCAAGACAATTGGAAGAAGACTCCAAGATGGCCAGAATCCAGGCTTCACTTCACATTTTCACCTGATTGATTTGATGCAGTTCCTCCTCCTGATCCAGATCTTTTATACAACTTGGCCTCGTTTTCTTTCCCGTCTGAAGTGCACATGACAGGCACCAAAACGGAATCAGTCAGGATGTCCCAGTTGTTTCTTTTGCCTTTAGGGAGACATTTTCCTGATTTAGTGCTGATGTTGCTATCGCTGGTTTTTCTCTCTCTCTCAGTTGCTAAATACTGCAGAGGTACCTGCAGGCTGGCCTCAGCTGGTTTTCCTGCTAGACAATCACATTCTTTTTCTAACTTTCTCATATATATTATTTATTAATTTCAGGCTGTTGCCTGAGTACCATGTACTTTTGAATTTCATGCCAGACAAGGTGGACTGTCCCCTTCTATCTCATGAGAATAGCTGGGATGGTCAGGAATTTTCAGGAGACAAATTCTGAGATATCCCTGGAGACATAAACGCTCAAATTTGATATTTTTAAAATCAACATTTACAGACCACCCTGAAAAGGAAGCATTAAAAAAAATATGGACTGAAGGTAACGTGTCTGATCTGTACAAAAGAAGACTGTGAGGGGGAAGCTAAAACCCAAGGATGGGAGCACTAGTGTAGGCCAAGCTCCTGTGGCTGTCAGGATTTTAACTTTCAGGCGATAAATGAAGATTGATTGATATCCATTCATTCAAAATCCATTTGTTATGAACAGATCAAGGACTAGATTCTCAGGTATGCCAAAATCCTGGTGCACCCGGAAGAAGGTGCATTATATCAGCTCTCCCCCTAGTCCTGGGTGCTGGTTTGACCGTCAGCACAAATTAGGACAGCTTCTGGGATGCTCTAAATGCCATCAAAACTGTATCAGGAAAGCTTATGCCCAAATAAATTTGTTAGTCTCTAAGGTACCACAAGGACTCCTCATTGTTTTTATCAAAACTGTAGTTACTCTGTATATAGTAGTATAGCCCTCTCTAACTTGAAGCTATACTACTTAGCAGCACAATTACTTTACACCATAGCATAAACTGGCCAGTGCATTGCATGCCCCCAGACAGATCAAACAAACCTTCACTGGCTAAGTCAGCATGGAAGACAGAAGCCTGAAAGACGCTGCACTGACATTAGCTTTAGTGACATAGAGGCAAAAAAAAGCAAAACATTAAAATTGAAATGTTTTGTTTCAGCATTTTCTAAAATGAAACATTTTGATTTTTCAATTCAAAACAACTTATTGTTTTGAAATATCCTTTAATTTCATTTTTAGCATTTAAAAACATTTAAAAATGCTCAAAACCAAAATGATTCCCTCTCCCCGACTTTTTTGAATTACCAGAAAACCGAAAAATCCATTCTTCACCCAGCTGCAAAGAAGACACTGCCCCACGTGAAACTCGGAGAAGGATTGTGACTCTGGAGCACCCCAGTGATCTGGGATAACACTCACACTGCACTATTCTTTCGGATGTTGCAGCCAGCTTCACAGACGTGCCTGGTTAACTTTGCAGGCCAGTGCTGAGAGAAGCAGGTCCAGGCTCACCATTCCTCTACTTTGGCATGATTGCACATCTTGGGGTGCCAAGAATATTAACCTCAATGTCATAGACAAATTCAACTGTGTGTAATTACATTCCGCTGATTAAACAGCTGTTGTATTCCCTCCCCCCCCCCCCCGCGGTGGCTGCCCTTCAGTGTTGGGGAAAGTGATTAGTATTTATGTTGTAAATTCAATGAGATAGTAAAATCTGTAAAGCCCACTGGAATAGATCTGGAGGAAAGGTACTAAATAAATGCAGGATCATTAAGACTGTTAGCCTACTTTTAATTTTGTGTCTTCTGGTACCTGTGATGTGAATTTGGATTCTTAATATTATTTTAAGTTGTTTGTTTTTGGTTTGCTTTGTGTGTATTTCACATGCTAGTGACTAGAGTATGTACGCCCTACCGTCACAGACTGAATAATTTCCATCCTTGTATCTGGTTTCACTAGATCCTAGGCAACCAGCACCATATGTATCTTATAAGATAATAAGCCTTAGAGGGGATTATTGTGGGTTCCTATTGAGATGCAGAATGTATTGATGCGGCTCCTGTCAGGAGGAAGGATGGGAAATTTCAGGTGGATTTTTCTTCTGAAATTGACCTTTTGAGCTTCATAGATTAAAAGAGGAATCGGAGACCTGCCGCTTATGAGCTGCACCTTTCATGTGGTGCATAGTTGGGAGCTCTTTTCAGCACCACTGAAAGGATGACGTGCCAGAGAAAAGCTTCCTATAGGGGAAAAAGTCTAGGAAATTTTAATTATGATTTTTTTTTAAAGTCACGTTATTAATAATGGAAAAGTCTGAAAGACATGCATGCCACAAACCAGTCTCTCTGCTGATTCTACTTGAATACCCATCATTCCCGATAATCTGCCTGGTTAGATATCACATGCCATGGAGGCAGAGGGGGACCAGTCACATCAGTGGAATATACACACCTATTTTCCTGAAACCCTTCATAAAATACTGCAGAAATTTTTCTGCCTGATTCTTTCAAACTTGTCCTGACCCAAATCAGGGGCAGCTTGGAAAAGAAATTAAGTTTAAAATAGGGAAGAAAAAATAACTTGGAACATTAGACATCTACCTACAGTCATTATTTTAATATTATTTATATAATCAGTAGTACCTAGAGGCTTTTGACCAATATGGGAGCCCCATTGTGCTAGGCACTGTACAGACACATAGTGAGAGACAGTCCCTGCACCAAAGAGCTTGTATTTGAAATAGACAAGACATGGAAAGGGGACAAAAGCACAGAGAGGTGAAATGACTTGCAAAAGCCAGAAACAGAACCCAAATTTCTGGAGCCATAGTTCATTGTCTAATCCACTGGCCCATATTGCCATCTATATCTCGATAGCTTTTGTTGCCACCCAAACAACTCCCCAATAGCACATTCACCAGTTAATCTGTCCAGTCTCCTCCTGTGTGCCCCAGAATGTTATGTCATTAAGGCACAGGCTACAAAGCTAACTGTTACCAGGTTGAAAGTGTTCCGACTCTTTTCAGAGTAAAGCGAGTCATAAGCTGGGATGTGGCAAGAAGAAAATAGATCCTGTCAGAATGGTTGGGTAAAACAAAGAAAGCATTATTATCAAGTAAAGAGCAAAAATTACTCCAGCTGCATCTGCAAATAGGGAAATGAACTGTCGATGTCTGTAAGGTATGTCTGTCTAACTTTAGGCTGCTGGCCTCAGCTACAAGCTTTTGGGGGGATTTCTTGGGACTACCTATTAAGTGTGAGGACTTTCAGCCCAGGAAGTGGGTGTGGGGATGACTGTAGTTGCTACAGCCATGAAATAGGCATTGGAAGGAGGGTAACAAAGTGTCCAGGTAGGCCGCAAAGAAACCTGTTCCATAGCCCACTGCTGTCCAGATTCCTTTAAAGTTGGGGATATATTAATAATATTCTTTTCCTGAATTCAAATGTTAATTTGTACTTTTTTGTCTCCAAATGACAGAGACCCTCCCTTCCCCCCAACCTTAAGGCATTAGGACAAACAGGGATTGGAGGTAGAATTTAGCTGAAGGGGAAAATCTCTGGCTTTTCAATTTCCTTTGAGAGGCGGGTACTGTCTGTGACTTCTGTGCTAAGCAGGGATGTCTGTGGCTGCTTGAACAAGCTATAATTCCCTGCAGCTGCTGGGATGGGTTGGGAGTGTCTGTATTGCAGCAGGCTGGATAATTTTGGGGTGTTTGAGGATGAAGGATATGTGCAGTTGGCAGAATAGTGTGAGGGACCTAAAGCTGATGAGGTTAACGGGGGTTAAGAAATAATGTGGTGAGGATCATACTGCCACAACTGGATGAATAATACAGGGGTGCCTGTGGCAGTTAATGTGAAAGAGGGGGAGTTTTTCTGGTTCCTGAATGGGTGTGTGGAATAGACTTGGAAACCATCATAAAACATAGAGTATATCAGCCCCTAGCAACAAACACCAGAGAGGAGGTGATACAAAATGTAAAAGCCCAAACACCCAGAAGAAAAAAGAAAAGCTCCGTTGGATTCAGAGGGCTTGATTCTCCTCTCCCTCACATCAGTTTAACAGCAGTGTAGCCCCCTTGACGCCAGTAGAACTTCTGGTTTACAAGTAAGAGGAGAATCAGACCTACAGATTCCCATTTTTCTCAGGTCACTCTTCCCCTTCACTGTCTGTGTAAAGCAGCTGGCGGTTTTTTTGCTGGTTCTCCTGGATGCCAGCCATGGCCCCTCAAGTGGTTGCTGGCTTTGAGAGAGTTTTTCCTTTTGAAAAGAAAAAATAAATGACATGAATCTGCATACTTTAGCTTTCAATTGACACACCAAAAAAGAGGCTAGTCCATCTACAGCAGACAAGGGAGGGAAGGAGAAAGAGAGAAAAATCTCTTTTGATAGAGCCCAAGATTGGATGTAGCTTCTTGCTCTCCCCCCTCAATGAATCTGACATCAAAGCCACCCAGGAAAGAAGGCCAGATTCGCTCATTAATATTCTGAACTGGGACTCCCGTCTCTTTCTTTCCACCCACTTCTTTCAGTCTCTCTCTCTCCTCCCTTCAGATGGCTGCAGCCCCCTACAGCTGAGTCAGTTCTTCCTCTCTTCCACAGCATTGCAGCACTTCAGTGGAAAGCCAGCAAGGCGTTCTTCACTCCTCCCTACTGCTGCATCTCCCCTACAGCATCTGCTCCGCTACCCACCTCGCCACCATGGCCAGTACAGTGTCAGGTAGGACCAGCATGGATTTTTTTGAAGTCAATCTTTTCAAACATCATGATTGTTTGTTTCCAGTGCGGATTTTGCTTTCATGCTGGGAGGGTTCTCTGAGGGACAGACAGCTGATTTGGCAGCATTGTCTTTTTTCCCCCATTTGATGTATGAAAGCTGGGTGGGATTTTTTTTTTCACCTGTATCCACCGTTGTTAAACCTGCCTACTTAAAAAATTCTTGACCTTAAAATGTGACACTTGAGATATGCTTAGTGCATATCAAACAATATTGCCTGTCAAATAATATTTTGTGGTCATGTCACACGGTAATTTAAAAAAGCCCATCTGTTCATTTTTGGAAGAAGGGATGGGGAGGGGCTGGGAATTGCATTTTTACATTGGTAAAGCCCAGGCACTGTACAAGTGGGTCAAGGAAAGAGACATAAGCAAAACATTGAAAATGATGCTTACAAAAACCGAGCTAGCTTTCTGTGCATTCCCAGAGCCTTGCATCCATCAGGATGCATTGCTTCATTATAAAGTGCTATCGGGGAGCGGTCCTCTGATGGTGCTGAGCGAAATCCAATGCTCCAAGGGAAGCCCTTCCTCCTTCCTGCAGGAATACTGGGAATAACAGCATTCCTGCCTCTTGTTTTCCCAGGTTAGGCACTATCTGGCTTTGACATTCAGATTAGCCTGCAGCATGTCAGGCTGCGGCGAGAATGCTGCACCCTTTCTCTGAAACTGGTTTCTAGAGATGGGTCTTGCGGCACCTTGCTGGGGAGCTGCGCAGGTGGGGGATGAGGGAGGGGTTCACGTGGATGGAACTGGAGCTCAGCGAGGAAGAAAATAAAAGTGCTGATTTACACCTGAACAATGGATGCTTGTTGAGAGTCTTCCAAAAAAAAACCAACCAACTCCCTTTCTTGAAACAGCTCTGATTCCTTTCTATGCTGCGTCAGAAAGAGGGGGCTTTATGAAAGATGGGGAAGGCAAAATAATCATAAAGGGTTGGAATGGAGAAGGAAAGGACAAGATGTTTCTATTCCAGACCCTCTCCCATCCAGGGGACTTGCTGAAAGGAAGAGAGAGCAGCCTTTCTTGGTGCATTCATTAGCTTCCCCCTGTGCTCCCTGCAGTGCATTTTCTGTTCTTTTTTCCTTTTAAAAAGACCACTAAAGCCGGGAGGGGGGAAGGAAAAGAGGGCTGGGAGGGGGCGTTGGGGGATGTGTGTAGGGATGCAGCTAACCCAATGCAGGCTTTGTGTATGATTAGGAAACCAAAACTAGCCATTGTTAAAAATGTTTGCCCTTATGCTAGAAAATCTGCAGGCATGGGAGAGGATGTGTGAGGGATAGAGAGAGCACCCCTATGCCTGTGTCATTGAATGTGTGCTAGTGTTTATTCTGAAGGCCCCACCCATCCATCTTGCTTTATTACAGAATTGGTTCTGGTCTCATTTGAATTGCAGAGAGCTCAGCAATCTAAACCGAGATTGCATTGAACCTGACACAAATGAGATGGTGGGTGTGACATGCATAAGTACCAGAGCAGAGGAATCAAGAGCCAGCAGTATTATAGCCGAAGGAGAAGCGAGAAAATGGAAACTGTTGGTATATGCCAAGGAGCAGGGCTGAGTCTCATCCAGTGGACTTTGCAGGGGTCAGCTGTCTGTTCAATGTTGCCCTTACAATAGGAATAGAATGAAGGCTGCAAAGGCGGATTTTGTAAATGAAAGAGAGAGGTCTTTTTCCTTTATTGTTTCTGCTTTACTTCTCTCTTTATCCTGAGCAAAAGCAAATCAGTGCTGGAGAGAGAGCAGCTGTAATGGTTTGCAACCAACGCCCAAGGGCTTGTATCCCTAGGGAAGATTTCCTTGGGTCTGTTAAAATAAACAAATCCCTCAGATGAAAAGGAAACCAGTCCTGCATGCCCTGCTTCACCAGTTTGTTTCAATTTCTCTCACCAGCCTCTCTAGGCACTTTCTTCTTGCCAGGATTGTCAACTTCAGTGATAAAGCAGTAGAAGCAGCAGCACATGCTCAGTGCAGGCTCAGGTGCAGTGGTGGCCATGCTATGCTGACAGAGGTGGAGCCCTCACACATGCTCTGGTGAATCCTTAGAGAGTCACTAGGACTAAACGACACCTTTTTGTATACCCCTAAAGAAGAGTCCAGGCCGCACAGCTGTGTCTACTCATCCATCACTGAAAGCCTTGTCTGGGCATATGAACAGGCAAAGGAATACTTGTGACCTCTCCTAGGGATTATGAAATGGTGCAGTATTGTGGATTCTTCTTTTCTGATAGATGAGTGCATCTGGTGTGGTAGAGCCAGGCTGAATCACTGGCGTCTCTCATTTTGGTATGCACAAGTGGACACCACGTGGCACTGAGTGGTCCTGGAAAATCCCAGAGGTTTCTCCTCGCTAGATGGATATTGGCATCATATGGCTTTATATGGCCCTGGTGGGTCCCCATGATCTCTTCTTCTGGACTCTATTAGTGGACACTCTGTACCACTGGCATATATCTATCATTTTTTAATATTAATGTTGCAATAGCACACAGAGGCCCCAATCAGATTCATCCCTATCCATCCTGTCTATGCATCTCCAAGGTATCTCTTTAGTTCCTTTAAACATTTCTTCAATGAACTGAGTGTACAAGGCTTATCTTCGAGGTTCCTGTTACATCTAGCAGGACTTCAGTTTTACAAACCTAGGGAGTACAATTAAAGGAATAGTCTTTTTAAGCCACCGTATCCAACCAGGGATTCCAAATCATTTGAAAATATTTGTTATTTCTCAGTCTATAAACCAGGTCTCCATTGATGGCATATTGCAGAGCTTCTGAAATCCCTCAGATATTTCTAAGGAACCTTCTCTGAGGTATCTAAGTGCTGGTACAGATTTGATGAATGTATTGTTTTAATTAAGTGAATAGACTCGCCTTCTGGAAAGGAAAAGTGGGGACTCAGTGGCATCATGGCCTTGGGGAAGTTTCTGTGAACTCTCCTTCTGAGGAGTAAATATGGGACTGGTGTAGCACTGGTATAGGCAGTGGCATTTGGGCTTGGTCATTTTGGAGGTAGGGAGCAAGACACACAGAAGGTTTGCCTTCGTGCTCTGGGTAGGCCCAGAAACCCCCTGATTACAGGGCTTTGGAGCTGTGCTCCGGCTCCGCTCTAGCTCCAGGCAAAAACCTGCAGCTCCACTGCTCCGGAGCTGCTCCGGGCTCCACTCCAAAGCCCTGGAAAGCAAGCTGAATTCCATGAAGTTTAGCAATCCTTTTCTGGTTACTGCCTCTAGTGTGGAATGCCCATTCCTCCTTCCTCACCTCCCTGGACATGGGAGAGGTAGGTGAGTTAGTTTGAAATTGGCAGATAGACGGAAGGGAAGGGCAAAGAACGAAGGCTGTAGGGGAAATGAAAGCTTTTGGACGTACCTGCTCCACACGTACTGTACCCAGAACAACCCAAAGTGCTCTGTAAACACCAGTTGTGCACAATCCCAGCCAGGATGTTCACAAGCGTCCAAACCCCCACTGTCTTCTCAGACACAAGAGACAACTATGGACCATCCAGGTGTGAACTGGGTCTCAGGGCTGTTGAGTCTAACTCTTGGGTGAAACTCAAGAGATCCAGTCAGTCTGAAAAGGTGTTACGGGAATTTGGTGAAGCTCAGCAAGCCTCCAACAGTTTGTCTCCCAGTTCTACCGAAGTTCATTGGAAACTCCATACCTTTCTGAGTTCTGCCCTTTGATCTTCTCCCTCCCTTTATGATATCATGCCTCATTCTTTTAGGTTCATGGCAAGGTTTCCATAAAGAGTCTCATCTAATGCAGGATGAAATTTAGGACCACATCTTCAGATGAATCTGGGAGTGCAAAAGGGCTAAAAAACAGCCAGCTCTTACATGCCTCTTCTGGTGCACTGCAGCATTTCCCAGCTGGGTAACAGCTCCTTAAAGTCCATTATCAGCTGGCATACTTCAGAGCAGTCCCCTGTCCACCTTAAAGACTTATATGGCCTCCATTGCCCTAGTATCTGAGCACCTAGCTGTGTTTAATTTTCTTATCCTGACTACAACCCTCTGTGGTCAGTCAGTGCTATCATCCCCATTGTACAGATAGGGAACCAAGATCCAGAGAGACTAAGTGACTTGCTCAGGGTCATACAGGGAGTCTGTGCTAGAGCAGGACATGACCCAAGGTCTCCCCCATCTCAGGCCAGCAACCTACCCACTGGACTATCCTTCCTCTCTAGGCTCCTGGGTGGCTCCCCATCTCAGCTACAGCTGAGAATCTAGTCCTAAATAGGTCCCATAGCCACCAAAACCTTGGGTCACCTGCCCCCACTTGGACACCCTGATTTTCCTTTCTCAAGCACCCTACCCCCAAATAGCCTCTTTCCCTCTTCACTTCCCCTTCACTAAGTAGATTTGTGGTTTCTCATTGACTCAGCTGCTGCATCCAACCCACTTAGTCCACCAGACCTGGGCCTCAGCGCTCTGGTCCTTCTCCTTCCATGGCCTCACTGAGAGATAGGCACAAGCTAATTCTTTTACTGGGAGGGCTTAGGTGTTGCTGCACTGGCGCCTGAGTTCTGCTGTTATCTCTCTCACGTCACTCAGAACGAAAAGAGGTAATCCAGATGGCCCAAACTACTCTCCTACCCTGAGTCCAGACTGTCCTTCACTATTATACCTCTCCTGCCTTTCATCCAAATGGCATTGTACTACTTGCTCTCTCAAGGGATGTCTTCAGTCAACTACCGTGGTCCCTGTGAACCCACAGAAAGGCATTGTCCTAGTCCTACTTTTGGCACTAGAACCCGATGGGGGGAGGTAAATAATATTCTGATCCATGCTACACCCCTAGAAGTAGAAATGGAGAGGAAGGCCTTAAGCCCAAAGTAAGTGACTGCACGGGGCCCCGCATTATGTGGGCACGTAGGCCCAAGTTCTTACTTGTGGCCCCACAAGCTCTGTCTCTGTCTCTCATATTCTTTTTCTTTCTGTC